GGGGGGGGGGGGGGGGGGGATTGAAGGAAGTGTGGAGAAGTAAAATAAAATTGAAAAACAGAGTGAGAAAAAAGAGGAGAATTGAGAAGCATGAATATTTTAATGTGAGTCTTATTGTATAAAACTTAAAATGGGAAAAAAAGTGTGAAAATTTTCACTTTTTGTTTATTATCTTTAGCAAAATCACTTATAAAAAATTAAACTTCCTATAATAATAATAATAATAAATAATAAATAAATATAATAACAAGAAAATATTTTTGTATTTATCATTTATAAAATAAAATAAACTTCTACTTCATTTTTTTAAATTTATTTCTTCTTTATCACACAACTATTTCTATTTTTTTAATCTTTTTCTCTACACTTCTCTTCTTTTCTCTTCTCTTGCTTCCACTTTTTCTCTCTTTATCAAACACAATGTTATGTTGAAAGTTACAAAACTTAGTCGTCAAATTCAAACATTATCAATATCAACCACTAGTAGGAAAAAAAATAAAACACTTTGTATCTCTACATTTATTTAAGAGCTTTCAATAAAAAGTTATATAAAAGAAATTATTAAGATTTGAAATAATATTTTATTTTATTGTGAAGAATAAGTAGTTTTAAAAAATATTATAAAGTATATAGCATGCATTTAGGTGATAAAAATGTAATAAAATTTGAAACTAAAGTATAGTTACTAAGTGATATTCTTTTACAATAAGTATAGATGTATGGCTAATACTGCCGTTATCCTGTGTAGGACAATTACGTTGCTGCGGCACAATTACAAATATCGTAAACTTTGGCATGCTTACTATCCAAAGCATTTCAAATACGAATAGTATTGTAGACTTAAGGTACAAAATACAGCCATAACAGGGTTGAATGGAAATTCCACGTCACTTGATTTTCTTAAGCTTTGTTTCTAAGAGGAGAAATTAAACAGAATGAAAATACATGTGAGAATTGATTTAATAATAAATAAATAAAATAAAATAAGATTTATAATTATTTGATAAATTAAATTAAATTAAAAATATTCAAAAATTAATATTTTAAAATTTTATTTTATTTAGTGAAATTTTTTATAAAAAACAAATATCCAGACAATTACATTTTTACCCCCTCATTAATTTTTTTCAAATATACATTTAGACATAGTGTAAGATAGTATTGTAAATATTTGTAAAAAAAATTTACACAAATTCATCCATTAAAAAATGAAATTAAATTCACACGAATGTCCCATAATATGCTTTAAAACTTACTCAAATTCTCTCCAAACACTTCTTTTTAATTCCTTAATAATCTCTTTTTCTTCTTAATTCCTTACTAGATAACCTCCCCTAAACACGCCATTAAGGAGGAACGAGAACAAAAAAGTCATACTTTTAAACAAGATTTAAGATAAAATATGAGGAAACAACATCCTGCACAAAGTCGGAAAGATGGTAAAGATGAACAAATGAAACATCATCTGGTGTTTTTATTTACCGCTATATTATTGACAAAGAATTCTAAAACGGACTACCGAAGGTTATCAATCAATGTGCACTGTGAAGGGGTCATTCTCAATGCCACAAGACTGCTATGGGCAGCGAATATTTGAATGCTTGCCCATTCCTTGTCTTTGGTTATAAAATGTCACACACTTAGATGAGTTTTCCTTTAAGCAGAGGTAATCCCACTCTTAAATTAATTGGGAAAATAAAACGGAAGCTGACTGAATCAAAATCATAAGCAAGACTTACTTGCCGACTCCAAACCAAAATTTAAAGATGATCAATAATTGCTTGAGTAAACTCGGTTGTCTTTGAACTTCCACCGAGATCAGCAGTTCGGTGCTTCCCTTCTGCAATTGTGTTGAGTATGGCTTTCTGAATCAGTTCAGCTTTGTCATGGAGATTCAAATGGCGCAACATTGCAACACCACTCAGCAGTAAAGCAGTTGGATTTGCCAAATTCTACATAAACACAGGAAAAATGGTTAAGCAATAATAGTATATCTATAATTACAAAAAGAGGTGACCTGGGTTGCCAGTTTGCCACCCATTGCTGAGGGTTAGATGTATGCAACCTTACTCCTATGAGACACGATGATTCTTCTATTAGAACTCATAACCAAGTCACAATGCAACAACATTACTGTTGCGCCAAACCCTCTTCAAATATAGCTCTAATATAAGATCAGTGTCAAAAGGAAAAGAGAACATATATATCATAGGGAAAAAAAAAATTCTAAGGGGAAACTCAAATTGGTAGCTAGCTTTTTTGAAAGGACTATTTTTGGTAAGTGAAAATTATTAAGTGTTTAATTAATTGGACCACAACGTCACTTATTACAATTACAACTTTCTTTTTTTTTTTTTGGTAAGCAAAGAATATTATTAATAAAAGGGAACAACTGAGATACCAGAACAAGAGTGCAAGTGAATGGCTGCCACGCATTACATAAGAACAATGTGCCAACAATAGACCCTTTAGCAAACACCATGAACGCACCCCTCAAAAATGCAACCCTGCATTGCTATCAGCTCCTACCCATCCCATAAAGAAAAGAAAAGAATAAAATGATCATGATAAAGTCCAATCCAACCAAGCAACTGGCCTCCCACTAATTTTAACTAATTGGACTAACACAACTCACATTAGCATTGATGTGAATAAAGCTCCATATACAATGCTGTAGTTATAATTGGACATCTCTTCATATAACATCACCAAAACCGAGCTAATAAAAACCATTCCACCTATGTCCTATTGTATCATATTAGTAACAACAACATAATTGAGGAAATCTCCATGTATCATAATAACAGCATCAGAACCAGACAACCACACCTACCCCTGATGAAGCTCTGACCAAAGATGTATCATCTAGACAAATGCACCAACCCATATTCATGTGCCAAAACCTAATCCTATGATTTCTCGTTGATGAATGTCTTAGGAGAGTTGGTAACATGTCATCAGATATCAATAAAAGAGCATCAGATGTGCCTGGCCAACAGTTGTGAGATAGCACAAATGTGAATCTTCTTTGTGTAATAAAACTACTGGATTAACCAGGCCAAACCCCACATGCAACAGTGTGATGTAGTCCTACTAGACTTCTTAGACACAGACCACTTGTTCCCAGTTTCCCACAACACCAACTTTAGACAGAGCAACAATTGTTCAAGGGTGCATTTAATCAGGTAAAACAAAAACATTTTTCTGCCTGAAATATAGTACCCCTCCGTTAATCACCTGAGCTAAAAACTAGCCTTATGACTCTAGAGGCTAGACCAGTTTCATAGTGCATATGCCATCTGAGTAACAACACAAACCAGAATTTCTACTTCTGGGAAAGAAAAAACTGCTAGAGGATTATTACAGAGAGAAACAACGCTACATATCCCAGCGACCTACACCTACTAATGATCAAATTTTTAAGCAAAATACACAACCGAAGCTGATTTCCTAGTCAAACCAGCAGTATTCAACACCATAAATCAGCAGTATCCAATACCATAAATCAGAAAATGCAACTAATACCTCTAAGATTTTGTCAAATCAATTTTGGTAATTTTCTTCCACATGTTTCATCAGCTTCATATTTTAGGAACACTTTTTACCTTCTCAATATTTTTGTTTAGCGCAGAATTTATACAAGTTTAGGCTTCAGAATCCCCATATTATGTGTAACTAAAACTGTTCATAGATGTTGGACTTTAAACAGAAAATAAAGACTACTAACTGAGAGTAGACACAATAATTATGTAGAAGTGTTATCAATATTAATCCATTAACAACTCTGATTAGGATAAGAGACGAGAATAAGTCAGGCAATAAGGAGACTATAACCAGTGCCGCCACCTATTTTCAGCTTACCTTCACTTAGACTACTAACTATTTAGCAAACAAGGCTTAAGAGTCAATTTGGATACAATCTAGAAGGACTTTTGAGAACTTTTTTTTTATATTGAAAATCAAGAATATTTTCCAGTAGAGAAGCTCTTAAAAGTCATTCAAACCTGCTCTTAGGCTTCTTAAAAAACATATTTGAGCAGTGAGCTAAAGCTTAAGATTTGTAAAGTGTATATCTGATTCTAGCCTAACAATATGACTTATTTATTTATGAGGAGGGTTATAATAACACCAGTGTGACTTTTACTAAATATTACACCACTCAATAACTTTATATTAAATGTGAATTTTGTAAATTCAACCGTTAGATTGAAAGTTCATATCACTTTATATGTTTATGAAAAATTTTGTTAAAATTGAACAATAACTTGAAAGTAATCAAAGTATTCATATTTTAGTATATTTTGAAATGTATATATTATGTTAATTTTGTTTTATAAGAATGAAGCATCGATGCATTGAAATCACACCCGCCGCAAAATCAAACAGAGACTCATGAGAGGCTTAAATAGAGACCTACAGAGGTCTCCGTGCCTAGTGCACTTATCCTACGCCCAGCGCAACCCCAGACAGAGACTCCCAATGAGTCTCCATGCCCGGCGTGTTCAGATCACGCCCTGCGCCATCTTAGTAACCAAAAACACAAGGCCCACATTTGATAGCGCGCTCGACGTGGTTCCCTTCACGCCTGGTGTGATCCATCGAGAGACTTCCCACTTCAAATCGAGCCTTGGCGAAACTAACCTCGTGCCCGATGTGATTTGACAATGGTGGTCCCTGATGAATGCACGCTCGACACCAATAACTGCGCCTGGCGCATGTTCAACCAGAAACCTCCAAAAACCTCAAAAATTCCTTCAAAACCTGAAAATCAGCAACTCCAACCACATGCAATCCATGAAATGAAATTGATAGACTTCATAAAACTCAGAAACAACCTCAGATTCAACATCCAGCCTCTCATGGCATCAAAATCATCAAAAACCACAAGATCGAGAGATCTGAGCATCTTCAGGGACATATGAAAATTCAACTAAGTTTTCAATCTTTGGTGCTAGGGTTCTAGAGACATGGTTAGGTAAAGATAAGGAGGTGTTTAGGAAGGCGGGTTGAGTGTCTGAAGTAGAAGTTTTGCATGGTAGTAAAGTCTCTCTTCTACTCACTCTGTCCTCTAAAATAGTATTACGGTTTAGGGTTTAGGGTTTAAAAAAATATTAAATACACCTAATTATATGTTTATAATAATATGTATATTTAACTTTCTTTAATTAAATACACCTAATTCATGGTTGCATATTTTGAAAACTTTTACCTATAAGAAAGGACAATAAGAAGGGACGAGGGCAACATTAGGAAAAAAAGGAAAATAAGAAAGAAAAAAAATAGAAAGAGGAAGAAGAAATGGTAGAAAAGAAGCTCAAAGAGGAAAAAACTATTATTTTAAAAATAAATAAAACTGATTTTTAGAATAAAAATAAAAGTTAAAACTATGGGAGAATTTGTGAAATCTATTAAGTAAATTTTGTAAAATTACATTAGCAAGAGTTGTAAATAAAATAAAATAAAGCAAATTAAATAAATCTGACAGTTAAAGTTGCACTTATACACACATTGGAAAACCTATGATGAAATTGAATTTGTAGCGTATAAACTCCAAATTTTGTACAGCATATTCCCCTTTATCCTCTCACTCAGCATTTTGAAGCTAATAATAAGAATAACTTAATAATAATATTAGTTATTAGATTTATTTTTCTAATGACTTGAAAACAAAGCAAACACTGCTCCAGTTCAAAACCCATCACACACCGTTCGATCCCAGAGCTGTGCGAATCTGACGGTGCTCATTCATCTGATGCAGAACCGTTTCAGTGCAGCGTCATCTCCTTCCTGAGAACGAAGGAGACAGAGACAAACCTTCCCATCACTCACTCTTTCTCTCTCTTCAACACCAAAAAAAAAAAAAAACTAATCAACCAAACCCTAATTCTTCGAAATTGGATTGGCAAAGTTCTTCCCCAAATCCTCACCTCCTTCAGACCCAGATCACATTTCTTCTGCCTCTTAATTCTCAGCCACCTAATTTGCGATCTTTCTCTGCCTCCGAATCATGGAGAAGGAGGAGAACGAACCGCATGTTCAGAAAAGTGGCGGCGAAACCGAAGACGCCGAACCCCTTGAGCTCGTTCTCTTTCAAGTGCCCGAGTGTTACGTCTACATAGTAAGTCTCGCAAGTTTCGGTTTGTGGGTTTGTCTCAAAATTTGATTTTGGGCAATGGATTTTGAGAGGAACGTGGGAATTCAATTTACAACTGAATGGGGGCACAATTGGTCAAGTTTCATAATAGGCTTGTGAAAAAACTATGGTGGCATTGAATGTTGCTTTCTGTTTTTTTGATCGAAAGTTGAATTTGCTCTTATTAGCTGTTAGATGGGTCGGTTGAATTTGAAAATTTTCTTGGTGTCCAGCTAATAATGGGTTTCTAATATTTTTGCAGATACCTCCAAGAATGAGTGCAGCTTCATACAGGTTTGTGATCAACTGATCTGTTGTGCCTGTGATCTGTTTAGTGCATCTCTCTACCTTTGTAAATAAGTTGTCCTATTCAAGTCTAAGGAAGGATGTTAGATCTGTTTAGTACATTTGTTATGATTTAAAATTTTAATTATCTTGTGGCTTTCATTACCTTTGTTGAAATGTGTTCTTTGTGAAGGATTTGGTTGACAGATTAATGACTTTTTTTATTTTTATTTTGATTGCTACAAAGTGTGTGATTGGCCAATATTTACATCCGTGAAATTCATTTCAGGGCCGATGAGTGGGATGTCAACAAATGGGCATGGGAAGGGATATTGAAAGTCATTAGCAAGGGAGAAGAATGCATCATAAGACTCGAAGATAAGAGCACGGGTAAGATCACATTCAGTCTTCTTTAAATATCTTATACTCTTAGATTTTTCTTTATTTTTTATTTTTTATTACTAAGATAAATATATACAACTAGGTGAATTATATGCTCGGGCTTTTTTAAGAAATGGAGAGCCGCATCCTGTAGAACCTGTTATTGACAGCAGCAGGTGGTTTTCCATGACTGTAGATAGTTTAAGTTGCTCGTTGTCATACCTTTTGTACTTCTGGAGGCTTAACTATTTATACCTATATTCTGCAGATACTTTGTTCTTCGTATAGAAGAGAACATAGGTGAGTCATTATATCTACATATTTCTTTAATGCTTTTCGTCTCTTAATTGTCTTATCATCCATGTGATGGGTAGTAGGGTAGGAATTGTAAAGGAAGGACATAAAATGACATGAGAACCTGTTTGGTTTGCCAAATTGTGGAATAATGTTGTGAAATGTTTTTAAATTAGTTTCTATTCCTCTTGGAAGAAAATAGTTGAACTAAAAACTCAGCTTGCATCAAAGTATATGGCAAGCAACTTATTTTTAGTTGTAATCAATTGATTTTGTTGTTATCAAGAATTTGACTCTCAAAACTGCCTTGCTTCTACATAGTGTTAGAGCTAGAATATTCCCAATAGAGAACAGTGCAGCTTTTTTCTTGGCATATGGGAAATACCCTGCAGCAGGAAGAGCTAATGCCATCATATTCAAGGCCATGCAAACCATAAAATGCCCTTTGTAGAATGCAAACCCTTGATCAAGAAGAAATATGGACAGCCTTGACCTCCTTGAAGGATCAGTTTTGGGAAGTAGCTTTTTCACTGTAACCACATTAGCTTTATCCGCCTTTTCTATATCTTAAACTTCTGCTATGAACTCTACAACATCACTGGCATCAATATCAATGTCACAGAAGGGACTTCTGGTCCTGCTCTGAGTTGGACTAATTGTATGGGGCTGAGGAAGAACTTTGAATGAATTGGTTCGCGTCCATGGAAGCCAAAGCCAAGTTCCAATTCGTTCCTGCTTTGTTGGTGATCCAATTGCAAAGGGGTTGTTTCTATTGGGACTGATTTCAAATGCTACCCCACGACAACTTGAAAACCTGGCTATCTTTGTCTCTGTGCTTTCCATTTCTTCCACAGTGAATGGATAATCTATCAGGTTGAATATAGCAATGATAGATATATAATCTCATTATACAGTGCAGTTATAGATGGTGGAATTCCTTAAGAATGTTGCATATTAGCTCCTAGACAACAAAAGCTTATAATGTATGCATAAAGAATAATGTCAAGTCCTCTTAAAACACTTAGGTGAAATTCTCTACAGAAAATAGTAATTAAAAAATTAAAAATTATTTGATAAGGGGGGTATATATATCAATGATTCATGCTATTACAAAGTAAAATCATTTATAAAGATATAAATTATTCACACTATAATAAAGAGTGTAATGTAGAGTTAAAAAGACTTTCACAAATGGAAAATGTTGTCATGAACCAATAGTAATCTCAAAAGACTACCTTAATTATTCATATCTTGGTCAATGGTTAACAAAATGAATATGATAATAATTCTTGCTATAACAAGGAGTGTGTGTTTGGTTGGGACTCTTATTAATAATTTATAGTATATTAATCCTCTAAAATAAGTGTACACCAGGTTTTCTTGATTTGGTATCAGGACAAACATTACAAAAAAAAAGAACAACAGATCATGCTCCTCTAATTGTAGCAGTATAATTATTTTAACAGTTGCTATCTGTTAGAATAGTGGATTAAGCCTAACTCAACCCTACAAAACCGGCTTGTAAGGTAAGGGTTGCTTTCCACTTATATACTATTCAATTGCCTAATCTCTAGTCGATGTGGGACTTGGGTTTTTCCCAATACACCCCCTCACGTCCAGCACTATTGGGCTTGGTACGTGGATAAATGGTGGGTGGCCCTTTTTAATGATCTAGGATTGGCGGGACTTGGGTTTTTCCCAATACACCCCCTCATGCCTGTGAGACATGCATCAATGGTGGGTGGCCCATTTTTAAAGTGGATCTAAATGGCTCTGATACCATGTTAGAATAGTGGATTAAGCCTAACTCAACCCTACAAAACCGGCTTGTAAGGTAAGGGTTGCTTTCCACTTATATACTATTCAATTGCCTAATCTCTAGTCGATGTGGGACTTGGGTTTTTCCCAATACACCCCCTCACGTCCAGCACTATTGGGCTTGGTACGTGGATAAATGGTGGGTGGCCCTTTTTAATGATCTAGGATTGGCGGGACTTGGGTTTTTCCCAATACACCCCCTCATGCCTGTGAGACATGCATCAATGGTGGGTGGCCCATTTTTAAAGTAGATCTAAATGGCTCTGATACCATGTTAGAATAGTGGATTAAGCCTAACTCAACCCTACAAAACCGGCTTGTAAGGTAAGGGTTGCTTTCCACTTATATACTATTCAATTGCCTAATCTCTAGTCGATGTGGGACTTGGGTTTTTCCCAATATCTAAATTAATTTGGTTATGTTAATTACTCCTTGTTCAAAGTTCAAACATTATCAACTTTTCCCTTGTACCTGCCAAGATACAAAGTTTATCTTGACAGAGTAAACAAAGAAGGCACAAGGACTGTACGTTCGAATGTGGCAGAGCGAAAAACTCAATCCAATAATATACCCACCAAATCTGTGATATTGCTGGTGAAGTGTTATGAACATTGCATTACTGTTGGCCATCATCATAAATGAAACGCATGTAGTTTACCTTCTATAAACTGAATGCTGGTGAAAGCTTTTGGAAACTTGTAAGCTATATGATTAATTTGATCCTCTTTGGCCCTAGTACAATACGTTCTTTCAATATTTATTTAATCCTTGAATTTTCTAAACAACTCCAGATGGGGGTGGATTCCATAAGGACAAAATGTATCAAATTCATTCTTTTGTTTGAGACTGAAATAGGAAACTGTAGTTTTTACTGTTTCCCTTTTAGTCTTTCTGAATAAAATAGCAAACAGTGTTTTGCAACCAAAAATATTCCTAACTTCAGAATCTTTATGTTTTTGCACATATTGTATTTGCACTGCACAAATCATCTAAAAATTCCAATTCTCGACCTTTATGACCAAGTGGTCGTAATCTTGGCTCATTTGCACTGATTGTCCAAATTATAAGAATATGATTGTGCTAATATCATATTCTTGGTATTCTCCTACTCGTATGTATTGGTATGTAGGATTAGAAAACTATGTTGCAATACAATACAATACAATACGAGGAAACTATTTCTTTGATCCTTTGGTGCCAAATGTGCTTTTACTATCTTCCATAGTCCGATATTCTCTGCTCCACAGCCATAGTTGCTCTGTTCCGTCTAATACTATTCCCACTTCCTCTCATGTGGTATTAGCACTACATTTTAGCACGAAGAAATTTACTTTTAAGTACTTTATACCTCTTTTTTGTTTTGGACATTTCAAGCTGGGAAAACTGTTAACTTTTGGTCCCCTGTTATCAAATGCATTTTCTTTTTTGGTTATTTTGCTGCACTCTATTTCTTATCACTGATGAAGTTTGGTCTTTATTACTTGAGAATCATGTAGATGGTCGTCTTCGACATGCTTTTATTGGTTTAGGATTCCGAGAAAGAACAGAGGCTTATGACTTCCAAGCTGCCTTACATGATCATATGAAGTATCCTCCATCAAATATATTTTATTAGATTTTATCATAGAGGACGAATGAAGGTCCTTGTGCTTTTTTTCACAAATGGAAAGCGTGTCTTTTCCTAAATTTTATAAAGATATCTGAACAAAAAGAAAACTGCTGAAGAGATGGAACAACATTACCAGCATACTTCCTCTGTTGATTACAGTCTGAAAGAAGGAGAGACTCTTGTGCTGCAACTTAAGAACAATGTATGGAAATCTGCATTTTCCTCTAGTGAATGGCGCTTTTTTCTTTTTTCAGCACCTTATCGTCATTAACTCCTATTTGTTGCCTGCAGAAAAGTGGCCGCAGCATTAAGTCGAAGTTTTTTGAGCAGGGTCTGAACAACTCCCCAGAAGAAAAGACTGGAAAAAAACTTTTACCTGTACCTAGTATCAAGTTACCACCACCTCCTCCAGCACCCCTTTCACCGGTTATTGCAGCGCAGAAGTCTCCAACAGACTCACCTACAAAACTTAGCCTTGAGAAAACATCTAAAGTTGAGACACCCAAAACAGTCAAAGACAGAGACCATGAAAATTCTCCTGAAACTCAAAGCACACAGGATGTACCAGATGATGATTTTGGCGATTTCCAAGCAGCTGGTTAAGCACATAAGCTATCCATTATTCATCATGTGGTTTGTCTCTGATGAATAGAAAACATGCAAAATTATTCACTCCTTGTACATCTGGTATATACCAAAGACTGCTGATTCAGCTTGGAGATTCAATTATGTCCTTCCAGACAGGAGAAAGTATATCCTACATAGCCAACAAAATATCATTAAAGAATCAACCTATATGCTTAGTAATCGGTGGTTGTTTTGGTTGCACTACGGGCTACTACTACGAGAGTTTTTCCTTCTTGAGTCACTTAATTTCAGTTTTATGCTTTGTTTATATTTCTGAGTTGAGATTCCTAAGTAGTTATTTAGTAGTACATCCTAAACCGGGTTCATAGCTTTGTCGATATCATAATTGCTGTTATGATGAATGAACCAGATTAAGCGTTGATGACTTGTTGATTTGTTCCTTGTATGGTGGATGATCTAGAATAGGAAGAAGTGAACACAGAAATTTGTGTGATTAAATAAAAAATTAACTTGTCATCGATTGAAGTGATACATAGTTACATGGCCGCTAGGAGAATATGTTTTTATTATGTTTTGGATATTCTTTGATTTGAATGATTTTTTTATTATGTTAAAGATATTTTGAACTTAGGAAAAATTTATTAAATAGGAGGTATGTTTCTAGAAATTCGTTATGTTTGTTGGAATATTGGTTAAAAAATTTGAAGAGCAAGTTTATTATTCTTGAAAGGTTAGTTATTTAGCAAACTTCGTTAAGAAATTTGCATAAAGTCAAATTCGAAACTAGCTGGATGATCTTCCATTAATGAATGAAGATAATTACTTTATCTTTCTTTGTTAAGAAATTCAAAATTATGCCCATTTTGCAACTATACATTCAATCTCCCACTAATATATCCTTGATAGAGGAAAAAACACATAGTTTCGATAAAACGATTATCTGATAATCTCTTTATAATTTGTTTTGGCGACGAACCAATTCTAATGTCATCTGTAATTTGAAAAATTGCATTTTAGATAAACAAATCTAAATACCAAAAAAAACAGACAAAGTACTGAAAATAGTGCTGATATTATAAAGGCACTGAATAAAACAAAATAGTAGTACAAAAAGGTAATAGTCATGGTGGGTGCAAAAAAAAATGGATGATGGGGCCCACACACCGATAAAGTGAACAACAATGATCAAAAATTCATGTACGAATAGGAATCCACATGTCAAATGTAAGACTCAGCGGAGCTGACTGACCTATATGCTCTCTCTCTCTCTTCTTTGTTACAATTTCTCTTCAATTTTACTTCTTTAGCCTTTTCACGACTTCATCCTTCTCATGACTTCTTCAGTTACACGTTGTTCACTGGGCTTTTCTGTGTGTATTGCAAATAAGTAAACTCTTCTGTGCTGTCACTTCTTGTTTGAGTAATATTTTAAGTAGATTTTGTTTTCTGGCTACAAGTTTGCCTTTTGTTTATATATTTTATTATTTATTGTTATTGGGGTGAGATTTAATTTTACCTTTGGCAAATTCATATTCTTTCCTTGTTTGGTGGTAATTTTGATTAGGTTAAGTTGGAGTTTGCATACTGTTTTGTTTATGAGAAAATAATTAAAAGTATTGTCAATTGTATGCAGTAAATTACTTAAAGGGTATATTAGTATATAGTATGATTTTGAAGACAAAATTATGGAATAGTCATGATTTTTATAGGTGGTTATTAATTAGGACTGTGAAGGGTTGGGGTAGAATTTGGCATTAGGTAAGAATCAATTCGGTTGTTTATTGATTTATTTTATAAAAATGTGATGGGATGGAATTTATCTGCACTCCATTTTATGCTTTTGTAATATAATATCAGCCTCTGATCAATATACATTTAGTTTTAGGCCTATAGAAATTACCACCATCGTTTGAGGCTCTGTTTTGATCTTTTTTCTCCTGTGATTTGTTGCCAGATAGTCAGGTAGAACTAGAGCCACCTTCACATTCAAATTTTTATCCTTTCTCATATTGGACATACAAGGACAACTCTAGCTACTGTTCAACAAGGAAGTTATTGCGATGGCTATGGACGTAAAAGGCATAACTTGGATTGGAAACATATTCCAGAAGTTTGAGGATATTTATGTGGAGGTGGAAGATGCAGTGTTTGAGGTATATTTTTGTCGTCATTTATCCTTAACCTATCCTATGCTTGTTTAAGTTTCAATTGAGGGAAGGTAACTGAAATTACCCCCAACTGGACATGCCAAATACTTGCTATAAATGTCATTGAAAACATAATATTATAATCTTAATTCTTTTACTGCTATTAATAGAGATGCATCTCTTCATCTTTGACTTATATGTCCCAAGTGTTTTACCTATAGTTCTTGTTATTTAGTTGCCATATATATTATTACACTTTGAGTTGAATCACGAGAGCAACTATTCTTAAATTTGTCTTGGTATTTATGGTAATCTATGATAACCTTTCTAAAATTCCTTTTATATATAATTTCAATTGTGTAGTTTAGCACTAGCCTGGATGAACTGTTGTTTTGGGACTGATAGTTCCAGGCCTGCAATTGATTTACATCAATAGTAGACTATAATCCTATATTTTTTGTTTCCCTTTTTTGGGGATAAGAAACTATTAAGTACATTGGGAATCAGATGCAGACTGTTGGGGAAAGTGTTAAGAAGATCTATTCAGAAGTCATGCAAGATTTACTTCCTCTAACTTCATGTCATTTGGACGAAACATCAGCCTCTGAGTTGCCTATAGATCAATATACTGATGCTGGTCTCCCTAAGAAGTCATTTCAAGGTTGCAAGAAAGTAACTATAAAGGCTGATACCAACCAAACAGCTGCTGATTTAAAGATCACTCATGGTGTTGATAATGATGTAGTCCATGCTGAATCCTGTGATTCTGATGCTATGTTCATGTCAAGTTCTTACAATTCTGTCAAAGAGAATACTTTTATTTCACATGCAAGACAATATGTTGGTAGCATTGAGATTAAATCAGACCTTGACGGTGATGAAAATCATCAAAATAAAAATATGCCTGCATCCAAGACAGTTAGTGAAATTTCTTCATCATCAGAACTAGATAAATGCAGAACATCACAATCATATGAACTTTCCAGGCTAAATCCAAATCATGCAGTCACTGTTTCAAAGTCAGCCTCTGCGAAAGTAGCAACAATTACCTCTGTAGCTGACTGTTGCAATGAAATTGAAAAAGCAAGTACTGAAGAAATCCCCGGTCTTCTGGTGTTGGCTGAATCAGCTAAAGAGAAAGAGATACCTAGTAATTCATATTCTTCCAGTGTCCTATTTGGAGAGTGTCTCTTGGATATAGTTTCATTATTTCTGGTTGGTAACTTGTTTCTTTTTTAGGAGAACTGTAACAATTGTATTTTTTTTTTTGCCAGGGGTCACGATGGTTAGAACAATTCAGCCCAACAACTATGCTTTTTCTTACCACAAAATCCTTGTATCTCATCCAGGTATTAATTCAGAATTCAGATTATTCTAATGTACTTATTGAATTCAGGTGTCAACTCAAATCAATATGAAGTAATTGCTCTGTTTATGTATTTCTGCATACCATTTTAGAAGTACTTTCAGAGTTTAGTATGTATTCAGTGCTGGCTGCTTTGGTCTCATTTTACAAAAAGGTACATGAGAATAAATTGTTGAGACATCCCCATATGGTTGTAATTGTGACTTCAGAACAATGATTTAAGATGTAGGGGATGTGATGAAGTTTTCCTAACATGTCTGTTATACTTAATGATAGGGGTGAATTAATGAGAACTAGGACTACACGAGTATTAACTAAGAAAAGATAAGTTAATTCAGGAAAATATTTTCCCTTCATTACAGTTCCATAGAAAAGATCTAATGGACTACATACATACACATGTAGGATGGATATTATTCTAAAGTATCGAAAACATAGGAATGTAAATTGGGCCATTGGACTAGATAAAGTCCTTCATCCATGCTAGAGGAATAATAGTGCGTTTGGATTTGGGCCTGTTTTGCACATTCGTAACTCTATCTATAGCCTATTGTTCAATAGGAAAGAAAATGTTTTTATTATTAAGTGGCACGGTTGACATCTATTGTGAATAAAAATTAAATTATTTTATGGAATATATAGAGAACTTTCCCATTCCCCAGAAATGGTTTCTTGCACCATTGCACATAACTATTTGATTTTGGTTAAGATCGGTATATTTTGTATGTTTTAAAGTTCTCATTGGTGTATCTAGATTCAATAACTCTAAAGCTTGTTATGAGTAGAATTTGTTTTCAAGTATTAGACAAAAAAAAAAAGTCTGTGGGTACTCCCTATGTCATGGTAATAATGTGTAGTCATTCATTTCCTTGATGTTTCTTATCTAAGCTCATGGTAACCGACGCTTTTGACTGTTTAAGAAATTACAGAAACATGGGGTTTGGATGTGCCTAAGATTGGCACTTGCATAAAGCAAGGCCATAAAACCATGCAACTAGATGATGAGCAGAAGCTTGAGGAAACTTGTGTTTTGGTGACTAGAGATGAACTTCAAGCAGTTCCCAATGCAGGGAGCAATCTAATAACTAGCAAGGTACACATACTTCTTCCCCTCCCTCCTTTTTCCGGAGCATATTATGCTCTAACTTGTTTTTTCTTTTTTCTCATGTTTGAAGAACAAGAAGTGGCAACCCTTTTCTTTATCCAAGAAGGCTGCAAGAAGGCAAGAGTATGAGAAGCTTGCAATATTTCATGGGAGTAATGAAAAAGGAAAGGGTGATTGTGCAGAGAATTCATGTCCAACTTTTCATGATGATCATAAGAAATTACCGCTTCCTGATATCTCTGAACCTGAGTGGGAGCTTCTCTAATTACTAGGATGATTATGAACATGTTTAAATACAAGTTATAAGTGTTTTTGAGAGTTTTCCTACCGAAAAAAATTCTTTACTTTCGATAAATAAACTTTCAAAAGTACTTATAAGCTTGTATGCAACCAGACTCCAAATTGTGTAGATACACAAGTAACACAACCAACCCTATAAGATTTTACATCCACTTCTTAGTCCGTATAAAGAAGATTGAGATGTTCTATTGCAACAATGATTCAATGCCCCCTCAATACCCATTATGTTACCACATTTACTTTTCTATGATATCAAATATCCTATTTTCAAAATGCCCTCCTCCACCCTTTTTTCTCAGCTTGAAAAAAAAAAAGAAGCCTTAGTTGATCATTCAAATGAGAATCTCCAAATAGAGTAGCATTTGAAGTAGTTTGGATCAATTATGTATGAAGCACTGAATGTAGCTTATTTTTGTTCAATTCCTAAGTTTAGATATAGTATTTCTATATATCATTATTGAGGATTTCAAATACTCTATCATTAATGATAAATATCTTGGATGTATCATATATCTTCTGTTGTTGTTTTTTGCTTTTTTAAAAGTAAAAATTTAAAGTTACACTCGTATGCTCAAATTATGCAACAAAGGTCCATTCAATAACTAGTTCATAAGATCTGATAAAAGTGTTAATTATGTCCCTGGAGGTGGGAAGCGCCATTAGTAGCGATAAGTTTAGGCCTTCATGCATTTGTCAAAGATTATGTGTGGACAATTACTTCTGCCAAAGATTGTCTTATGTGTGGACAATTACTTCGTCGGAGTTTGGTTCTTATATAACATGTTCTTATATAACATCTTGTATTTGTCTGTTACATGTGCATGTGTTTTCTATTGCATGTAACTGATTTACTTTGCACTAATTTTATATATCCTTTATTTATAATTAAGAAAACAAATTACATTTATTTATTTTTTAAAAAAAATTAAGACATAAAACGTTACAAAATTTGTATCGATGTATATTATAACAGTAATAATAATAATAATAAAACAACAATGTGTTTTATATAGATAAGACATAAAATGAGTGTAAATAATCTAATAAATTGGGTGTGTGTATGTTAGATGTGTGATGGAGCTGTACTGTGAAACCCAAAGTTGGCCCAAAATGTCCCAAGGCTAATGTTACCACCTGAGGTTTAATTAAACTCTAACGGGCTTAGGCTCAAAAATTAAAAACTAACGGGCTTCAACCCTTCAATAAAGCTCCACTATGCAACCTTCATGGCTTCTGTTAGGTTCATGATATATACATCATTTTTTATTATAAGTACATTATTTTTTTTTAAATTTATAAATATTTTTAATTTTTTATTCTTATTATTTTTAATTTTAATTTTCCCTTTTTTTTTACGTTGATATTTCAAGAATTTATTTTTATTAGAAAAAAGAAAAGGAGGTGTACTTAATAAATATATATATATATCATGAGTCAAACAAAGAAAGAGAAAGATGTATGTAAAAAATAAAAAAAATATTAAATTAAATATTAAATATATTTTAAGATTTTTTTATAAAAAAAAAGGTGTACTTAGAGGTGTATATATCATAAGTCCTTCCGTTATTATCACCCATTTTTTGGTTTTTTCACACCCCACATTTTACAAAAAACATTTGAAAATACTAAATTACCCTTGTGCTAGCTAGCTTCTTTTCTTGCTTATTTTGTGTCCTGTCACAGTGTCTAAGGGTCTTTCATGCTTCTTTTGATCTTATGTTATTCTGAATTTTTTCCTCTTCTCAACATTTTTTTCCACCTTCACAGACTCAAATAATTAAGATAAATCATGCAATTTTCAACTTCCAATTTAATTGACCATAGACGATGATAGAGTTTAAGGTTGTTGTTTAACAATGGAAGGAGTAAAAGACATATCTCTATCTCTAATCTCCCTCAATGTTCTCTAATTTGTGTGTGGTATGTGTTTTGAGAAGAGAGGAAAGCATGTGATAAATTAAGATTTTAAAAAATAATGAGATTGTAATACTTACATGGTCAATTTTTTTACTCATTAAAGAGAATTCATTCCCTTACACCTCGTATCTCAAGGGTGAACACTAAATTCATATTGAAAAAAAAAAAGGATAAATAGTAAATCGAACGAATTAAATATCCATCATTGAAAGTTACTATAAGATTTTCTATCTTCGCTATTTTTCATCGTCCACTAACTTAAAAAGAAGAACCAATTTACGTGAAAATTTGTTACAAATGCTTATTTGATCTCCAAATTCTAACTGTATTTTTGGTATCACGTAAATTTTAAACATTATCTTTGATTAGAACTTTGACTTTGTCAAACAAAAAATGGGTTATTGCTCAAAGTATTTCTTTTGAATTAATTACTTTTTTCTTTCCTAAGAACAAACTATTTTACCATTTTTTTAATTTAAAAATTTGGCATGCTATACACCCACAACACAATGAAGCACAGCAAATTAAAGTACTTTATATGAAACAGTGAAATTGAAGCCAAATCCAATGAATAAGTTTGAATTTTATATATAAAGTAATTCTTATGACTTTCCAAGACTCATAAGGTTCATAGAATTAAATATTAACTATTAAATAGCCCTTCTCCTTTTGTGTATTACCTCGTGCTATCGTCAACATGTTCTCACTTTTAATTGTTTTTGTGTTAAATAATCAAAGTTTTGCTTCAAGTGATGAGAACATCTTTGGGTGGTAGTTAGCTAAAAAAAGAAGGAGTTTTATAATGAGCCAAGATATGCCTCTTTGGATAAAAATCCATATTTAACGTGATATTTACATGACCACCTAATCCCCCATTAGTTCTTAAATTAGTTGCTGCCATAAAGCACATAACTTTCCTTAAGTACAAAGTTAGGTTCATTCACCAATGCACATTTTTGTTGCCTAAAGGATAATGGCTGCCATTATTGACCTATGAAATTGAAAAGGGGAAGAACAAAGAGGAGCAAAAACACATGTTGAGAAAAGGCAAGTATCTCTAAAATTACTCATTGAACAAGCAACTTGTGTATTAGGATTTCATCAAGATGGGCCAGGCACTTTTGCTGGACTTGGCCCACATAGCCCAACTGAAACTTCATTTTCTTGAGCAAGAGAGATTCCAATCTCCACATACTCTTGTCGACTCTTCAAGGCATTAGGTTCTAGAGAAAACAAACAAATGCAATTGATTAGTTATTTGTTTGGATTGTTATCTGAAAATTAATAAGTCTTGAAAATTGCTTTATTGTATGGCATATATGCCACTTTGCTCCAAAGAAAATGACATTCGTTAAAGGAAAAGGACCTACAAGAAGGTGGTTGATGCATGTAGTGGCGGGCTAAAGCTAGAAAATGTGACAAGGATGTTAATCATATCGTATGCCTTGAAAAGTCTAAGTTTTTCTTGCAAAGATTGCAAGTGGATAAAAGAATCAAATTTTACAAATTCTATTGGCCATAGTTGTGGATAAAATTTTGAATTGTGTTTAGTTTTACATCAAGCCTGTTTGTTTTAAATTTGATTCTTAAAAAATGTTGTTTTTAATAAAAATAAGCAGTTTTATTTTTGTTTTATTCTTAAAAAATATTTTTTAAGAAGTAAATTTTCTTCTTAAAGAATTAATTTTTTGAAAGACACTTTTTAAGATTTTTTTTAATTTAAAACAAATATGCCTTAAATTAGTTTGTTAGATCACACTATTTTTTTTTAATAAATAAAAATATAACTCCTTCTAACTACATTGACTCACTATAAGAATAAAGTAATACTTCTAGTTGAAGGTCCTCTCAAATTGGAGATTAAACTCAATGTTTGATTAAAAAATAAAAATGTTGAATCACTTACACTAATAAATTTTTTTATATCATAAGCATTAAGTTTAATGTAAAGTTTGTGGTTGTAATTAACTAATATTTTAGCATGAGTATTTTATAAGCTAAACGTTTATAATAATAAACTATTTATACAAATATATTATATTTGAATATTAAATTATAATTAAGAATATGTAAATAAATATTTTTAAACATACAAATTATATTTTAAGTTTATAATAAATAATTTATATTATGAAATAAAATAATTTTAATTATTGATAATATATTTTAAAATTATTAAAATTTAATTTATAGATAAATATGGTAAATAAAAATTGAATAAGATAATAAGTTGGAAAAAGTTCTAAAAATTCTCTTGTCAAATTATTTTAAAAATATTAAATTTAATTCATATATAAATAGGATAAAAATTAAGTTATGTAAGAAGTTTAAAAAAATTTCTAGAAACACTTTCGTTAAAGAAAATTCCCTAAAAATATTTTGGTGCAAATAGAAGTTCGTGTTTAATATAGAAAAATTGATTTACACACATATCTTGATTTTTTTTTAAAGATATCTTCAACTAATAGTTAGAGATTATTTTCTTTCAAGAATCAAGACATAGAAAATAAAGATGACCAAAATGAGTTTTGTCTTTTTCAACATCTATTTCAAGAAAATTGTCAAGAAATAAATCTTAAAAACTTTAGTTCCTATACTTATTTTTTTTTTAATCTTTTTAGTTTCTATACTTGTAATTTTTTAATCATTTTAGTCTCAATTATTAATATGTTTTACAACATTACCTTTTTTTATATTGATGTAACAAAGATATTAATTTAACTTTATGTGTCTTTTTTCAAATTTATATATATTGCTAAAATCACTCTAAATTAAATTTTTTGACATTTTATGTTTCTTTAATATTCTTATATGCAATGTCCATTATTGAGATACAATATTTTGTCTCACAAAATTAAAGATTTCTATCAACAAAAAAATTCTGTTACAAAAAAATTAATGATAGAGATAGAAGAATTAAAAAATTGTAAATTGTAAATATAGCTTTTATATATATATATATATATATATATATATATATTAGCTTTTAAATTTTAAAATAAACTGAATTGATCTATTTTAGTATTCCAAATCCGTTAGAAGAAATGAACAAACACCATGTCCAAATCTAAATAATAAATCGATATATTGGATTTGAAAAATATTTTAAATGTTTTCTTTATATAGATTTTTTATACAACTTAGCCTAAAAACGTAAGGTTGAAGAATGAAAGTTGTGACACGTATCACGTATGGTATATGGATTGGAGGCTCCCCCGTTTGAACCTAAAAGGCTCCAACAAACGGTGTTTGGGTGTTCTAAACTCAGTCAATTCTCGTGTTGATGGGAGCTTCTGTGAAAGCGATTTTACGTGAAAGTTCAAACTACAACTCAGAAGAAACTCGTTCTTCGCTTACTGCATATATACATAATTACACACATTCCTCGACTCGTGTT